CTTGCCGCATCGTGAGTTTGTCCTGACATCGGAAGATGCGTGTCTACTGTCGTCGTAAACGACATGTCTGTATGGCGCTCTATCGGCGAGCTCGCCAGTAAATCCGTGGGCCCCCCCTCTGCTTCCGAATTATCTATTTCCTCATCGTCGTCATCTTTTGTTACAGTATACATCGTGTGTACCAACGCATCGCGTAAACGAGGGGGCATATTATTTTCCTGCATGTATGTTACGTACTGCTGATCGCGTCGTTCGATCGCAGTCTCTTCCGGATCTTGCGTTTGAACGAAATCTGCTGCTGTATAATCGCCATACAAGTGATTGTACAGGCGATCGCCTCTTTCATATAATGAACCCTCAGCGCGTAATTCTAGTCGATTTAACGCGTCATTCAATTCGTCGCTTGGTAGTTTAAATACCCACTTTTTAATTTATTTATCAACATTTTTCTTGAAAATGCTAAAATCGCTATCGAATAGTACGTTATCATTTACCATTTAAAATGCCGAATTACCAAAAACAAAATAATAGAAATTTCGCGAAAATGCTAATTCCGAAAAAATTTTGATTTACTATGTCGATAAACGGCAACGAAAATTAAAATCAGGTCAACGAGCGTAAACGCCTACCATGCACACATCACGCAAAATACCACACACAACCAACCAAAATTTTCAGACATAAAGATTCGCTGTTTTTTTTATTTTTCATACACAAAAATTTTATGCACTTTCGCCGCTGACATCTCGGCCGACCTCGAAATTCTTTCGTCGAATTCTCAGACAAGCGCACTCGCGTAGCCCTAAGTTTTCCGTAGTTCGCGTATCGACGACTTTGGCCTTTGTTCCAGGAACACGTTGGGCGCCAAATTATATAACGGGGGTTTCGCCCATCTTGGCTTTCCCCGTTGATATAAAAGTGTGTTCGTCGAGGGAATGAACACGTTCTCACCTAAAATTGCCGGAAATCAAATTTAATGTGCGGATTTCGCTGATGTCTTGCCAAACCCGATCCGGTAGCGTAGTATGCCGCTTATAAGGCCGATCTGCCTAAGGGCCCGCGGAGGCGTCGTGAATACAGGCTTCTTGTGAGACGCGAATTTATCCGAACGCAAACACGCATTAATTTAAATTATTGAGGAACTGGATAGAGAGTGGGGCTTCAAGGAGCGAACAGAGATATAAATATATGAACAAAGCGTGTAATAAAAAGATAGTTAAAGATATTACACAAGGTAGAAAAGCGCAGTGTGTAAGAGAGAGCAAAAACGTAGTCAGGGAGAGAGTCAAAATCGAGCGGCACTTACAATTGTCGTTTTTAGACACGCTCGAGTCTCAGAAGCTGCCTAAAGTCAGGATCGCCCGGTGATGCGAGTCGCAGGAGTCGGTTATAAAACAATGAGGGCAAGCGGCAACGATGCCAGCTCGTACGCACTCACACAGTCTTTTCAGTTGTTTTAGACCACCGACACTGCCAGTCTTTGATTGTGGGATAGTCCAGTCGCTCACCGACACACCGGGATGGTCTGCTATATATCAAATGCTTACAAAATACAGTACGGAATGACGTACTTGCTGGACTAGCTTTTCAGTGACAGGCATGATCCTGTTGAGATTCAAAGTCGCTTAGAAAACATGTCGAGAAATCACAAAATGTCCAGAAAAATAAAGCATAAAATCAGCAATAGACAGGTCACACACAAAACAGCAGAGTAGATTGTCGAGAGGAAGGAGGTAGCTCGGATCTTCCTCCAATGAGCCAGTATATCTTTCTCCATTTTCATCCTAATTGTTTTCGTTTTGTGAATATGTGTTCTTTACATATTAATCTTCTATCAAAGTGTATGCCTAAGTATTGGACATGATCATTTTGCGGAATGTATTTACCTTTCAATGTAATAGGTGGACAATTATCTTTACGGAGAACGAATGTGGTGTGAATTAATTTACATTTGTTTCATATTATTCTCCATTAATTTAGCCAATTTTGAAGATGATTATCAATATAAATTTTTAATATTTTTAATTCTATTGTTGCTTCTTGATGTGTTGTTAGTACTGCTTTATCGTTAGCATATGTTGCTGTTAGAATATTTGGAGACTCTGATAGGTCCAATGTCAAAAGCAGGTAAAATACTAGGAATAAAACACTACCTTATGGTACTCCTGTTTTTATTACTTGCCGTTTTGGGACTTCTTTATTGATTTTTACTTGAAAGATTCTATTTTGTAGGTAAAATTGTAGTAAATCACTGTAGCATTTAGGAAAAAATCCCTTAAGTTTTTGTAGAAACCACTTATGCCAGACTTCAGCAAACGCCTGAACAACGTCGAGGAATACCTGTGTAGTATTATTTATTTTCGATGGATTTTTTTGCTATTAATACTCTTCTATTCACTTGTTCGATCGAGAAATGATGACCTCTGAAACCGTAATAGGACAAGTTTTCTATCTATTATATTTGGGTTTATTCTAGTATGATTTTTTCGTAAACTTTTAAATGTACTCATAGTAGTCTAATCGGTCTCTATGAAGTCATGAATTCAGTTTCTTTACTGGGTTTAAGTATTAAAACAATCTCTGCTACTTTCCATTGAGAAGGAAAATAGCAAAGATGGAAGCATGCATTAAATATTATAGTTACGTATCTAATTGCTTTTGTGAGAAGCTTTTTAATTTTTCTTCTTCTTGGTCAGAAATTATCCTTTATTGTGGTTTGATTACTTCGCTTAGATAATTTGTGGAAATTGTAGCGTTTTTCCTCGTCTCATTTGGCCCATGTTTCACAGTTTTTTCGAATGGTTGGTATGAATGAAATTGATCTGTTTGGCCGTTTAGTCGCTTTCCACTATAAGTAATTCGTTGCTTCGTTCAATCTAAGAAAATCTGAGATTCTTTTGTATTTATTCATTTTTCTCTGCGTACAATACTTTCTTCAGTTCTCTAAGTGCTTTATTTAGTTTCGTTTTATTCTAGCTCGATCTAGTCTTCTAATACCTTTTTATCAGTAATCATTTGTTCTACTGTGGAGGAGATAATTTGTTGAGATTTTCTCTTCGTTACAGTAGTAGAGGATTGGTTAATGGCTTCAGTTAGGAGTGAGCTGAATGTATTAATATTGTTTGCTATATTTGTAGCAGATTTGAGAGGTACATTACATTTAGTACATTCCTCTATGATTCATGTATATTTTTTTCAATCTGTTATTATGAGGTTGTTTATAGTTTTGTGTACTGTTGAGTGTAAAAAGAATAATATCAAGAAATGATCTGATGGAAGGTCCAAGCATAAGAAAACTTCAATGTACATTTTATTTATACCGTCAGCTATTGCGAAGTTAATGAAATCCGGTTTCTTCTTTGTGTCTGTTGGCTAGTATGTTAGTTAGCTAGTAGATATTAGTATATAATTATTTTTAAGGAAAGTTTCATAAAGAATTTTGCCTCTGTATATTGGTGTGAATGATCGTAAACCTCACCATGAATGTTTCGCATGAAAGTCTCCTCTCATTAGAAAACGATGTCCCAGTGTTTTGAATAATTTGAATCAATATTTTCATATATTAAAAATACTTTTAATTCCTGGTTTTTCTGCATGAGTTCATTTGCATTCCAGATAACAATTTTTAATAAGTTTATTATGCCATTTTATTCATTACAGTTATCAATATATTTAGTATGGTTCCCATCCTACTCATTAATTGTTCCATCATTTATTCTAGTTTGTATGTGTGCTCTTCTTTTGAGTGTTTACTTGATTCCGTATGATTATAAGATTGTTATCATTCGTGCATCTCATTTTCTTTGTTTTGATTTATAGCTGCTTATTTTGTTTGATTTCATGTTCTTTCTCTTAATTTATTGGACACTCGCTAGTTGTATTATATTTTGCGCATTTCACACAAACTGCGCTTTTAAAACAATAATTTTTAGTGAATCCGAATTCTCTGATTTGGTTAAAAATGTAATCTGGCTCTGTTAAATTAAAAATCTTTATGTAATGATAATTATTAATATAATTAATTATAATATCTTACTAATTAATTTTGTTTTAGTATTATTTAATTATATCGTTCTTATATTTTTCATCAGTACCGTCTTTATGCACAGGCCTGAAAGGCCGAGGCCTAGGGCCCCAGGCATTCCCAAGGGCCCCCTGCCAAGGAGTACTTGCTCAAATTTCGATAGAAATATAAAAATTTCGGAAAAAAATTTTAAAGTTTTCTTCATAAAACAATCGAGTTATCGAATTCATCGTAAAATGGAAATGCAATAGTATTATTAATTTAAAAAAATTTAAGTACAATATATTTTTTTTTAATCTTATTTATTTCTTACACTTTAGTCTATTTACAGCTTTTTTCTTGATTTTTTCTGAGAAAAATCACTAATTAAATCATTGATTTCGATTAAATCTAAAACATCACACTCAATGTACATTATTGCTAGCCAACTCAAGCGAGCATCCAGCATACTACTACGGTGATCATTTTTCAGGTATTTTAAAACAGAGAAAGACCTATCGCCGCTACAATTTGTCACCATCATGCACAGAAAAATACGCAGAACTATTTCTATGTTAGGGAATGTCGATCTTATACCATCGCTATGGATTTTGGTGTACAGTTCTAGAAATGATAGTTTGTCGTCAGCGCCAGTTGCAGTTAAATAACTTTTGAATTGTATGCATTCCGATATCAAGCTTTCTTCACATAAATCCTTGTCATATTTTGCTGCAATGTTTTTGCAATTTTCAGTGATTTGTTGATCATTCAAATTTCGTAACTTTGTCAAGAAAGTAAAATTTTTGTTCAACTCATTGTAGGCTTTTTTTCTTTTTTGTAAGCTTACGATCAGACTATCGATTATGGGATAAAAAATTTCTACTCTGAGACTATCAACGTAAGAAAAAGTGGTATTTTCGCTTGTGCCTTCGAATCGTTGGAATCTGGTGCTACGCGTTCTTGTTCTTACATTTTCATCTTCAGGTATCTCTTCCAATTAGGCAAACACTTTTGCAGATTCTAAAAAAATATCAAATTTTTCCCTTAGACCTCCGATGTACTGTTCTAACGATTCTAACAAACTCACTACAACGCCTAGATCTACATTTGCTTTTTGCAGAGTTAAATTAGTCGCATGAATTTTAGACAAAATATCATACCAGACTACAAGCAAAAAAACATTGCTAAACTAAGTCAAGCTTTTATACAAACTTGCTGCTTCTACTTGGACTTCACTTTTGGCTGTATCATCTTTTGCTAATTCATCAAGAACCAATAAAATTGTGTCATATGCATGATAAACAGCCGATACAGCGTCAACACGAGCCGACCATCGCGTTTCACTCAGTGATTTCAGAACCTTCAACACAGTTTCTAAAACATCTAAAGCTTCTTTCAATTTTTGCCACCTGTTAGTAGAACCTGATAAAAAAACATATAAGCGCTGCAACGTATCGAAAAATATTTTTATTTTTAGATTACACTGCGCTGCTGAAAATCCTACTAAATTCAAAAAATGCCCTGCACATGGGCAATACTCAGCATATTTATTGGCTTCTTTAATTCGAGCTTGCAGTCCTGTGTATTGGCCAGACATATTTGTTGCGTTGTCGTATGACTGACCACGGCAATCACCTAAAGTTACACTGTTTTCATCCAAAAATCCAAAAACTGTATTAGTTAAATACTCCGATTTATGACTCTCAATCGATATAAATTTCAGAAATCGTTCTATTGGTCCTTTTTCGTTGACATATCGAACGGTAAAAGAGAGTTGATCTCTTTTCGTGTTATCAGGTGTAGAATCTACACTAATAGAATAATATTTCGCTTGTCTCAGTTCATTTAAAATATATTCAAAAACTTTTATACCCATCAATTCAATAAGTTCCTCGCAAATATTCGCTGATAAATATGACGTATGCCCATGACCTTTATTCCCATATTTCTTCAAATGATCTTTGATAAATGGACTATAATCACCCATCAATTCTAATAAACCCAAGTAATTCCCATTTTTTTTTGATCCTATAGTTTGATTTTTTCCTCGGAAAGCAAGACCTCTAGAAGCTAAAAACTTGATTGCTTTTACCAAATGACCTACTAACTCTTTCCAGTACGCAAATTCTTTCTCCGCTTGTTGACAAATTTGATTGTCGATACAGCCAACTGTATTTTTACGTTTCCCGTATATATTTAAACATTCTTTATGTTCACTTCCGCCGTTATGTTCGATAACGCGTCTTATGCCATTTTTCCAGTCATTGAAACCAACTGAACTAAATTGGCTGCTTTGATGATTCGAAAAAAGTCTACATATAAAACAATATACACAACCATTCGATGGCGAGTAGATCAACCAGTCTCTTTCAATTATTTGACCATTTTTTAACTCACATTGAAACAAGGATGGCTGTAAGGTTCGAATTTTCACTTTTCCTTCACTGTCAATGTATTCACGAGCCGATTTCTTGAATTTACCGTCATTGTTCCGACCGAAATCTGCTCCTTTTCTCAACCAATAATTGACTAGATCATTATCTAAATTCCACAGAGCAGGATCAGTGCTGTAATTCTTTGTATTTTCGTTCGGTTTGACGTTCCCTAAATAATTGAAAGCCCGATAAAGTCACGTTAACAATAAATTTCTGGTGGTGTGAATTAAAAAAAATTACATTATCAATTCTACGATGTTCTACATTTTTAAGATTTACCTTGTACAGTATTACTATTGTCTTGAAGTGCATGTTCGCAGGACGCGGGGCCATCGATAGTTTGTGAAGCAACTTTTATCTCGTTAATCTCGCCTTTTAAATCATCTACATTTTCGACATTTCGTAATGCACCAACTTTATTTGCTCCTTCTTTTTTGTCACCTACATTTTGCACAAGAACTCTATTGGCTTCTTCCTCTTCGACCTTCGTGATGGCAACTGATTCTATCGATATAAAAAAAAATATTCAGCGAAAATGCCATTGTAAATAATGACGGGTTTTACTGCAAGACTTTCGGAACTTCATCCATTCCGAAAAAATAAAGCTAGCTTCGCGAGCATATTATCACGTAGTCGCGGGAGCGTTGGGAAGATATTTTATTGGTATGATATACGCGAGCAAGCCTCAAGTTGTCTCTGAGTGCATAGGCGCGCAGTCGAGCGCGCAGTTGGTTCAGCTAGTTAATTTGAATTAGAAATAAGCAATAAGCAATATAAGCATAAGTAATCTTACATCTTATAAAATTATATTGATATACTGTTTTAAACAACAACGACAGATAATAGCAAATAATCAATTATCTAATATATTTTTACCTGTGTAACAAATTGGATATTACTTTTATTGATCAGTTCACTCGTAACGCTCGAGGTGTTCAGATGTGCGAATGATCGCTCTCTAAGTTTAAAGTGACCGTTAGACAGTGACAGTAAACAGACATATCAAAGAAACATAGAGCAAATAAAACAAACAAAACCAAATCATACAGACAAATAGTAGCATTAGCTTAGCCGTCATGGCTACAATAAAAGAAAAGGTGCAGATCACACCAATAAAAAATTCGAAAGAAATAAACGATGAAACAACAACCTGGAAAATTGCCCAACAAAAGCGCCCAAGAAATAGTCCAGATGAAAACAAATCAGTTAAAAAAAGACAAACACACATTAAGGACTACTGGCTCGGAAATAGCCCAAAGGAAATAGAAACAAGTAATCAATACGAGGTATTGCAAGAAATGGAAATCAGTGATAACACAGGTAAATCAAATATTCAAAATCAAACCGTAATTCCAAAAGCTGCGAAATCACCACCAATTTATGTTAATGGTGTCTTAAAAATAACCCCACTACGTGAATTGCTCGACCAGATAGCAAAAAATGAATACACGTTAAAAATTTTAAATAATAACGAAATCAAAATACAAATCAATAAACCGGAACTCTTCACACAAACAGTCAATGAACTTGAAAAAAAAAATACCGATTTCTACACATTTCAGCGTAAAGAAAATAAACCGTACAAAGCTGTACTAAAGAACATGCATCCAACAGTAGACATAGACGAATTAAAAATTGAAATTGAGTCATTTAACCACGAAGTAGTAAGAATTACAAATATAAAGCACAAAATCACAAAACAACCGTTGCCAATATTCTTTATTGAAGTAAAACCGAAAGAAAATAACAAAGAAATATTTGAAATAAAAAAACTAATGCAACAAATAATTAGCTTTGAACCTCCGCATAAAAAAAAAGATATCCCTCAATGCATGCGCTGCCAAGAATTTGGTCACACCAAAAATTATTGCCACCGACCTCCAGTCTGCGTAAAATGCGCAAGCAATCATCTCACCAGCGATTGCCCAATCCGAACAAAAATAAATGAAGTAAAGTGTGCAAACTGTGGAGGGAATCATGTGGCTAGTTATAAGGGCTGCAGTGCAAGGATACTCTTACAGCAAAAACTTTTTCCACCGTTAAGGGCAAAACAAATGCCCGAAAATACCGTTAGACCAGACGTTACTTATGCACAGGCAGCAACCTAAAATAAAAACACGACAAATACTGAACCCAAACAAACACCGACACCACAACAAACAGTAAACACCAACGACAGTCAATTCGTAAACATGATGCAAATGATGATGCAAATGATGAATAAAATGGACACTATGTTAAACCTAATCAACACGCTTCTAAACAAGATAAAATGAATACAAAAATAAAAATAGCAATTTGGAACGCTAACGGTTTAGCGCAAAGAAGCATAGAATTAAAACCTTTTCTCATAGAAAACAATATCGATATAATGCTAATTTCTGAAACTCATTTCACACACAAAAGTTTTTTCAAAATCCCACGATATACACTGTACAGTACAAATCATCCCGACGGTAAGGCTCATGGAGGAACGGCAATAGTAATAAAAAACACAATTAAACACCACGAAATAGAACCACACAAGCATGACTACCTACAAGCAACAAATGTTGCGATCACAGACAGCAACGGTCACATCATTCTCTCGGCATTATACATGATAAATTGAGCATGTCCAGAAATTCGATGACGGGAGCACTATGTGATTATGAGATCAATATTGAAATTGAATGATATTGCACATTACAATGGAAAAATCGTATATGTAAATGTAAGTATTGCACGTTCCATAACTCATAGTAGTTCATATTGCTGATATCGTTCCCTGTATAATTTTGTTAGGTGATTTCGCCTCGAAAAAATGATTCGATTCCGAAAACTGTATTGAATATTTTGTCAATCGCTATAAAAGTTCAATATCATATCAAATCATTACAAAAATAATTTTCAATATATCTACAGAAATATCGACGAATATCGAATATCGGAAATGTTCTCTTCGATTCAAATTGACTAAAAAATTAAAGTTAAAATCAAGCCATCGTTTCGTAAAAAATTACATCTCATATTGATTTCATGAGATTTTCGCCACCTTAAGAGGGCCCCGGCCCATCAGGCCTAGAGCCCCGAGGTAGATAAAGACGGCACTGCCAACAATTCATCACTCACTGCACTATCGTTTTCACGCTGCATTTTTTTTCACTGCACTTAACTTCACGACAACAAAAATCACAGTGACATATCGTTGCAAGGCGTTCGAATTTTATTCATTTTTGAAACACTTGCCGCGTTTTGGTCATTGGTCGAAGATTTGGGAGTAGGGACGCGAGACTACGCGATAGCACTGATTTTGTCGCGTGCATAAGACGATCATAATTAGTGGTGGGAGTAGCTAAAGAAAATGTGATTAGTGCGGAGAAAAGACGCCAATGTGTATTAATATAGGATCGCGATAGCGCGTACGCTCTTTTTTTCTCACGCAACGGACGAAGAGTAGGTGGTGGCAAGCCGTTGGTAATGACAAGTTGCAGCCTTAAGAGGGCCCCGGCCCATCAGGCCTAGAGCCCCGAGGTAGATAAAGACGGCACTGTTTTTCATGCTATTTTTTAATACGCATTAAATGATGTAAAGTTAACTTTGAGTGTAGTGAATCGAGCCAAATATTAAGGATACTCTTGTTTGATAGTTTTTAGTTTCTCTTAATTGTAAGCTTTTCACGGAGGCTTATTACTAACGTCTTATTTAATTTTGAAATCGTTTCTTTTATTTTATCCATTGTGTTAGATTGTATTATCTTATCGTTTATGTTCCCTGTATTGTTAGTATCTACTTAGGTAGAAATTTGATTTACGAGCGGGTTGAGAGGGTAAGAAGGAGGGATAGTTCATCGTTGATATTCTGATCGATAGTCAGAACGTCGACCAGGATAGTTCGAAGGTTTTCTGCCATATTTCTCTGATTCTGTGAAAATTGCCTTGCATCTTTTGATACGTGCACGGCTTCTACGGAAGCCGTCTCAATCGAGTCCGTTGCTAGGTTGATCTTAAATATCGCATAGTAGATGTCTTACATTATCTAGTGTGTCTTAGAACTTCCTCAACTCCTCTATCTATTTCTCGATTGCCTTTGTTAACTTGACTGTAACCGAAATCAAAACAAAAAGATAAAATCTAAATAAATTTCTCTTAATTTCTAGGATTATAATGAGTAAGAATGTTGTCTCGTTATGTTTCTCTCTCCCTATTAGTTAAATACCTTTCTATGTATTAATATTATTGTGTTGCATTTGAGATTATGCCTTATAGAATAACATTTACAGCTGTATGCTATCAATTAATTATTGTTCACGATTACTAGCGCAAGGTATGTGACAGTAGGAAAAGAGAGAGAGGCACATATACGACGGAGTGCTAAAGCATGTGAGTTAGACTACGAGAGAGATACATGTGCACGCGACGTGGGCTTGTTACAACGCACACTGATTGGGGCACGCAAACGCGCGCGTGGAGATTTAGTGGAACCCGCGAGTTGAGTAACTTAGCGGAGAGCTTTGGAAGAGAACGGATGGGGTCAGGACAAAGAGCTCGGCATCATGGGATTTTCAGCGACAACGCATTGACAACAATCGCAGAGAAAAGGAGAAGTTTCTCTATCGTAAGAGAATCCTTTGTACGTAGTGATTGTAAAGAGTGCGGTGCACAGGTCACAGCGGAAGAGTTGCAACTAGCGAGGATGCATTCAGCGGAGCCGACGTTTCGGATATAGTTGTGACTAGCGAGGACGCAATATTTGTAAGTACCCGCTCGATAGCTATCTATCTCTCGCTTGGCACGACACATGCTGTCTCTTCTTCTCTTGCGTATCGTTGTTATCTCTGTACGTATATTGCGCATCTGTGAGTTGACTCTATATTCTTTTACCTAGTTCCTCTGTGTCCATTCTACTCGCGCTACGTTGTAATTCGCGCCTTTTCAGCTAAAGCGATGTAACCACGCCGTCTGAGCCTCACAGCAAACAACGCAGATGCATTACTGACGACACACCTAGCATGCATAAAATATATACTTATATCTCTTGTGTTAACGGGGGGAACCGGGTTAGTTTATATACTGGATATAAATAGAAAAATTTTTAAAGAATTGAGATTGACCTCACAATAATTTTAAGAAGTAGTATCATGATTAAGTCTTAGGTCGTCATTTACTTCCTCGTTAAAAATTACTAAAGACATTCACAATTCTTGTTTTTCACAAGAATTCTACAGGTTTTCCTGCCAACTTACTTTTTGACCATCATTTGACTCAGTTGAGGTTATTTTGACTTTCTGTTTAATTTTTAAACGTATAGTTTTCCCCTCTTCTGAATGCGATATCTAAAATAGGGGCTCCTATTTAAAAAAATTTAAATTTTATCACGGCAGACCGTAATTTAGTTTTTTTTATAATAATTAATTAATATTAAGAATAGAATGAGAACTTTAATGATATATATCTAATATAGAAAAAGCAAGATTGAGAGTCGCTACTAAGATTTCCCATGAGGAAAGCACATCTGGAATAAGGTGATTATATAAAACCTGATTGTGGCTGCCCTATCCTGCTTTCTCCCATTCGCATGCGTTAACAGGAGCCTACGATCATCACG